CTGCTTTCCTTATATTGCAAGAGCTAAAGAGGAACGGTTTTTACTTATCGGCTGAAGAGCTTCTTGCCTTCTTAGGCCCTGTTAACACAGTCAGGACCGAGGCTTCTACCTTATGCAGACGACGTGCTTTTCTTTTTCGCGTGATGAATTCCAGCTTTCCTTAATCTCAGTATCCACGTGGCAAATATTAAAATCTAAAAACCAAGATACTATTGGGAGCTCAATGGCAGAATCTCAAAATTTGACCGTGAGAAACTCAACATTAGACATGAACTGGCTTTTAACCCCAACCATAGAACAAGTTACGAAGATGAATTTGTATAATTGCTAATCCTGTGTGACCAGGATGCTCCGGTAAAATCCCTGCTTGACTTTGGACACAGAGAGACAGAAAATTGTTTGTATGTACGTCAAGGTTGTGATTCACTAACTACAAATCTGCGTCATGTGAAAGCTCTTTTAGTTACAAAGTGAATAAATAAAACTTTACCTTGCACTGAAATGACCTCTCTTGTTGATTCAGCGGTCGCAGAGCTTTCAGTGTTTTTTTTTCTTCGTGTTGTTAGCGCCTCTGTTTTGAGTGTAAGCCCCTCAACCCCCTGCAGTGTTGACAGGTCAGGTTAAAGGTCAGTGTGAGCAGTTTGCTTCTTTACATTGAAATAAAGAAAAAAAAAACTACCCAGCTTGAGTTGCATGAGGTGTCCATGAATCCTAGAACTTTTTTCACACATCCTTCATCGCATGTGAAAGTCGGAATAAGCATCCTGTTCGACTTTTACATTTATGTGGTAAACATAAAATCGGTGTGAGGTTTCTGTCCCGAACTTTGACCAAAAAATAAAATAAAATCTTATGTCGCCTACTAACAAATTACTTTTAGACCTAAAAAGTAAACGAGATGAACTGTACACAAATTCAAACAATTGTTTAAAAAAAAAAAAAAAAAAAAAAGCCAGTTTTGGTTCCCGTTGATTGTCAACGTCTCGATTCGTTAAACGGTAAGTGTTGAGTTACAAGCGTTACCGTGTTTTAACCTCAACGATGTTTTGTTTGTTTGCTCCATCCCAGGTACTGGTTCTCTCCACCCGCTTACTAAGACCGGCGGATATCCCCGAGCTGCTCTTCAGCACCCAGAGACTGCGGCCAGATGTGGGTTTCTGAAAGGCCGGCACAAGGAACGAGCCTCACCGGCGTACGTTTGGACAATCAGGTGTCGAGCTCAAGCAGTTAGATTTTTATACAAATGCTGAGGGATTTAAAAAAATAAAAAAATAAAAAAAACATTCCTGCTCTGTGCGTCAGCACACAAATCCCTGAACACAAGCCATTAAAAAAAAAAAAACTAAACGAAAAAAACCTAGCTGTGTTTTATGACTCGAATGCATCAGTATATTAAATCTGACAATAAAGACGTTTCCCTTCCAGACAGCGACGAGATGTGCTGCTGCTTTTTGGTTCGCATACACTGTGTTAATCATGAATGTGGGGAAAGTGACGCTGCGCAGCAGCTAGGAGAACAGGCACTCCGTCAGCACCATCGCCTCGTCACGTCACGACAAACAAAAACAAAGGCACAACGTTAAACAAATCACCTGACACTGATATTTGCTCACACCTACACTGTGGATTCTCTCCTTGGTTGGTTTTATTCTCTCTGGCATGGCTGACCTCAGCTGAAGCTCAATCATTTCACCCACCTCCACACCTGCACATGGCAACAAGAGGAGGCTTTCTGGTTTACTCGGGTACATTTCAACAGATTCGGACAAGAATTTCTTGATTAACCATCTGGAGGGAGAAGGCAAAGTCGTTTCTAGTCAGGTTCTGTGAAAAGTGTCAGGAAAAAAAAAATCATCTTCTCCATCTTTGCTTCTTTGTTTAGTTTAAAGGATTAACTAGACTTTAATCCATTTGTTAAATGTCCTTAGGTCTGACTTCTATGCATTATTGTAAATTCATTAAAAAAGAAGGCAAAGTAAGATCTATAAAAAGACAATTGGAGAAGTTCCATTGCTTGGGGAGAAATTAGAAAATATCTCAAATGATTAAAGTTTTTACTTTATTAAAGTTTTTGTTAGAGTAAAAAAAACTGAAGGTTTTTGTGAAATATGACTCATCCCAAATTTTAGCTCAGGCTCCATTTTTTATTTTTTATTTTAAACCGCTTTTGCTGCACTTTGGTTAGACCCTGTATCTCTATAATTTTCCCTCATCCCTTTAGCTTGTAGCTGTACGTTGTAAATAACTACTATTTACCACGTAGAATCAGTTCATAACCACTAGCTATGCACTGTAAGTTTGTAGTTTGCCCTAGCAGAAAGTCTTATGGGACACAGCGTTATGAAATTATTCAAACTAAAAACACTTGAGACATATTGAAACATATTTTTGCTCAACCAGTATTTGTTTCTGTTTTTATCCTTTGAATAAACAAAATTTTGTTTATTATGTGCAGTTTCAAACAGTGTCAATGTCTGATATAGCCGGCCTTGGCAACTACCCAGGGCGACATCTCATCTGCGGGCGGCATGAGACCCACTCACATGGCTATTTAAGTACAGAGTAAATGAAGAGAAAATCGCATAAAATGTTTTACAATGTCATCAGATAGATTAAAACTATAAAATTATGCTCTAATTCTTGTATTTTAAAAACTAAGACAAAAGTGTTAATGCAAATAAATAACACATTGACACATTTATGAGAGAAGCAAAACACCCAGGACTCGTTTATTTGAAATGAGTCTCAGAAAATTATTTTATTGAGGCACTTATGGCTCTAATGGATGTTTCTAAAGGAAGAGAAAATAAATATTCTTTTCCTAAAATGAGGAGTTCTGGAGTCAGTGTTTGAGTTTGTTGCCAGTTATACAGCTGAAAAGCTTATGGATTTAATTATTCACAAAGTTTGATATTTTCTTTAGATCAAATTGTATTTATGACATAACCCAGCAAACCACCAAAGTGAAAGTCTTAATGCTGTTTTAAAATAAAATGTGTCAGTATGGTGGTTTTTGGGAAACGACATATTTACTGTGATACTTGTTATAAAAAGCTTCAGATCCACTGTCACAGAACATTATGTCTGCTGTTATATGACATATTCTACATCCCAATGTCTATCAGAGTGACAAACCAGAATAATGATTACAAGCCCTCCTATGTTTAATTTAGAGCCAACAATTAATATATAAACCTGGAGAATCCCGAAATACGCAGAGAGGAAACGCAGACTATACTCAGGAAAACCTGCATAATCATCAAAACAAACAATTTGGAGGGTTTTTTCCCCTTCAAGGCTTAAGTGATATTCATATAGATCCATAGTGATGTTTAAAATGGCTTTCATTGTGGAAAAATGCTGAAAATAGCTTGTAAGCCCCAGGAAATCATTACACGGTTTTCTCAAATCTCTGCAGGGGATTTTAACTCTGCCAATGGGACTTTATTCTGCAAGCAGCAACCTATTCATTCACTTTTTTTTTTTTGTTTTTTTTTAAGCAAACGAGTCTTTCTGAGTCCCTTTCTGACATAAAGTAGTCCCAGAGACCTACTTTATCTGCTGCGCAGCAAACAGTCTGGACTGAAAGCATCACTTTTGACAATTTCAGATCAGCCGAAAGTGTGCCAAGGCTAATTGACTCGGATGTTATTTTTAGCTTTAATTTGGCAGTAAGTGTGTGCGTGTGTGTGTCTGTGTGTGTTTGTCTGTCTCAGCAGGGTTTCTGTAGGTTTTATTAACTCAAATTTAAGACCTTTATGAGTGAAACTTAATACGTTTATCCATCCATCCATCCATCCATCCATTTTCTTCCGCTTATCCGGGGTCGGGTCGCGGGGGCAGCAGCTGCAGAAGGGAGGCCCAGACTTCCCTCTCCCCAGCCACTTCTTCCAGCTCCTCCGGGGGAATCCCAAGGCGTTCCCAGGCCAGCTGAGAGACATAGTCCCTCCAGCGTGTCCAGCGTGTCCTGGGTCTTCCCCGGGGCCTCCTCCTGGTGGGACGTGCCCGGAACACCTCACCAGGGAGGCGTCCAGGAGGCATCCTGACCAGATGCCCGAGCCACCTCAACTGGCTCCTCTCGACATGGAGGAGCAGCGGCTCTACTCTGAGTCCCTCCCGGATGACCGAGCTTCTCACCCTATCTCTAAGGGAGAGCCCAGCCACCCTGCGGAGGAAACCCATTTCGGCCTCTTGTATCCGTGATCTCGTTCTTTCGGTCATGACCCAAAGCTCATGACCATAGATGAGGGTGGGAATGTAGATCGACCGGGTAAATCGAGAGCTTTGCTTTTTGACTCAGCTCTCTCTTCACCACGACGGACTGGTACAGCACCCGCTTCACAGCAGACGCTGCCCCAATCCGCCTGTCGATCTCCCGCTCCCTTCTTCCCCCAAACGATAATCCGTTTATCCTCAAGGAAATGTACGAACTTCATCCAGCCAACTGGCAATGAGTTCTAGCTGTTTGCTAGCTTTCTGGCTAGCTAGGTTATATTAGTATTGAGTCGTAGAACGCAGTGAAGATGTCCGAGTGTCTCGCAGAAAAGTCCCATGAGAAACAAAATACATCAACAAAATTAAATAGTCACGTACGGAAGCGTTATAACGTGATACGTATCTTGTTAAAACGTGATACTTTTTGTTAAAACGTCATACTTATCTTGTATAAACGTGATAATTTTATGTCAAGGAAGTGGCGGTATTATGCTAGGCTAGTACAGTGGCTAACATGAATTGGTCAGGTTTCCCTTCATGTTTGGTCTACAACATGTAGAGATACGGACGCTGCTTTGCACTGTGGTTAAAACCATTAATAGCATGCTTACTTTGAGCAGGATCCTGAACAGAACGGGACTGTACAGAAGGAGACGTCAGTCCGGTCCTCTAGCTGTGGCCGCGGCGTTCCTGACTGTCTGGATCGAAGCTTCTGATTCGGGAAGTGGCTAAAGGGAGATTATAACGGAGGCTCAGATGTATTTGCTGAACATTTTCTGTTCAGATTTTTTTTTTTTTTTTTGGAACAGTACAGTTGCTGAACAACGGCAACGGCTGTTCGTAACCAAGCAACCGAAATCAACAGAAGGCTAAATAGTGGCAAAAGACAAAACTAGATCCTGTTAAGCATTCTGAAAAATAAGACTTCCTCTCTCCAAAATAAATCATAAATAAAGCTTTGAATTTAATTATTTTTCAGTCACCTTTTTGTAATTATGTACAATCAATACTCATGTAAATTATACTTAACATATGACCTGACATATGACTGTAAATAAGTAGCTAATCATGGAAATTATATTTAACATATAAATGTTAAGAAAGAGCACCTACCTTTCTGTTTGGATGTTGTGGCTTACAGGGATGCATCAGCTGGGATAATAATTCAACTGGGATAATAATAATTCATATATAAAACATAACCAATGTTTTATATATAAATACTTTGACCAAATGCCTTTAATTATTAAATGCTGTTTATCATTGTGCTTTAAGGTTTGTAACCAGTAGCAGACGTCTCACGCATCATTGTGAGTTATATGCAAAAGCTGAATGGCCTCCTTTAAGCATACTGAGAAACAGTCACCTCATGATCCTGATTTATAAATCTCTACTCGGCTTGGCTCCAGCATACTTAAACTTTCTTTTACATAGATCTGTTAATTCCCATTCTTTACGTTTTAACAATATTTTTCTTTTGCATGTTCCACTTTTCTGAACTGAAAAAGGGAAGCAAGCTTTAGTGTGATGGCTCCTACGGCCTGCAATCAGCTCCAGTCTGAAATAAAGATGTCAAAACTGGTTCCACTGGACTTATTTCGAGCGATTCTTAAAAACAGACGAGATTTTATTAAAGAGTGTCACTGTTTTTAAATTCTTTTCTACTGTTTTACACTTCTGCATATGCAGTAAGTAATTTTATTTTGTAACCAGATTGCTGTGTGTTGCAGACTTCTACCCAGGTCCGTCTTGAAAATAAGATAAGATGTGTATCTCAAAGGGGTTTACATGATAAAATAAAAGAAATAAAATAAAAAATAAAATAATAATATTTGTGAAATATTGGTCAAAGATTTTTAATATTTGTCGACAAACAAGGAGCAAAGAAGAGACACCTCTCCTTTACCATATAGGTGACTTACAATAATGTCTTCTAATGAAGACAAAGATGGTAGATAAAGATTATTGTGTTGCTTGGCTAAAATAAAACTCTGAACTTGAAGATATTTATAGAAATATTTTGTAAGGAATATCATGTTTGTTTTTAATTTCTTCCAGTTACATAAATGCCTTCCCTGGAAAAAGATCAGACACATTGGCTATATCCTTAGCAGACCAGAGTTTAAATCCTGCTCTACCTGGATGAACATCACAAGGTTGTTGCTGTAGCGTCCCGGTTGAAAAGATGGTCTCTCTAACTGATGGTTCACGTTTCTTTATTCAACAACCTTTGTACATGAACACAACATAAGAGCTACAAACATACAAATAAAATACCATTAGTAACTCTTAGTGGTTCTAACCTTTTACCTTAACCTATTAACCTTACTTTATGTAATATCATTAAATTTACAATACATGTATTTAATTAACTATAACATTTCTATATTACAAATGAACCAAAACGTATTCCAACTGCCCCAACTGTTCGACAGTTAATCAAATATTGACACCATTTCATGTCGAAACATAAACATTTCGCTCAATCTATACAATTCACTCATCAAAACACCCACCTTGTTCCCTCATCAACCGAGCACTAACTAACTGATTGTCTGGACCTTAATTGGAGTATTCTTTAGTTATCTCCTCTCAACCGTGACTCGTACGCTCTCTTAGTCTCTGCACTATGTCCAAAACAGCCAACCGTCAGTTACCGTCGGAAGTTCGTGTAGATCACCTAGCAACCTATCAATAAAGCCATTTGCAGTTGCTTTTCTCCCAAATAATCAAGTGTTTTTTGCCAGATCATCATTGTATTTTTCAGAAATGGGTATTTTGTTTGCTTAATTAACCTTTTCCTGCCTGATGAGTACATGTACAAGTCTATAGCAATAGAGATCCAGTGGGACACAATAGTAATCCATGCTGGGGGCTGACTGGCTGTAAAGTGAAACATAGCTGCCCTGATCTACCCTAACCCTGATCTGGGCTGAAATAACATAATAGGTTTGGTAATTGTAAACGCCCTCTGTCATAAGGTAGATATAAGAGAGACAGTCTCATTCTAGAGCGTTTACCAATCCAATGAAGTTGGAAAAAGTTATATTTAGCTCCTTAAAGAAGAAGGGGAGTGAGGAAATTGAAACTGATTGGAAAACATATAAGAATTTTGGCAATATTGTAATTTTTATAATATTGATGTGATGTGATCTGTTCTCTGCCGTTTCTGATCGCTCCTCAGCACACGAANCAAGATGGCCGCCCTAAATCTCGTCAGCGACAATAGGCGAGAGCGGTCCATGAGGCGTCTATCCTTATATTATGTCTATGACTGTAACCCCCATAAACTAGTTCTTAGAATGTCCTGTAGAGGGCACTAGACCCAAATTTCTCCTGTGTTGGTAACGAAGAAGAGTAAGGCATAAGGGAGAAGGAAGAGAAATGGCAGACTATAGACTAAGCACGTTTCAGCAGAAGTAGAGAAGTCACTACTCACAAGGCTGCTGTTATACGAAAGAAATCTGTTCATTTTGAACTGGATGATGTACATTCTGTTCCGGGATTTCTCCAGTTGGTTTTTTTGAACGGCCGATATCTGAACGAGCCAGTGGAGTTCCAGAAGCAGGAGGGTCCCGCCGCCATCTTCGTGACTCGGACTGAGCCCGGAAAGAAGAGGGACTGTGTGCAGCTGGATATTTTGCTTGGACAACAGATAAGCTTATTGAACAAAAAGGGGGCCCCCAATCTGACAATCTATGTACACATTGACTGAACTGACTGACTGAACTGTATACTGAAGGACTAACTGGAATATGTAATTTTTTTTCTTGGAAAAGAAGCGGTTGTTGACACCCACCCTTATTTTTCAGAATATTTTATTTTTTCTAAGTCCTAAGGGTGGACAATTTAAGTTTTTATTAATCTTCATGAAGGTAATTAGTGTCACCTGAATGGTTATTCTTTTGTGGGGAAAGAAAAATAAACTGGAGTTGCTTAATTTATTTGCTTATCATCCTCCTGTGTGACCCTAGAACAAAAAGTAACCTTACTGCTGAGTTTATTGCTAATTAAACTAAGTAGTGATTACAAGGCCATTTAAGGAGTGTGTGCTAAAAAGAAACACATTAAGAATCTGAAATAGATAACTTCATATTCTTTGTGAACAGTCAGTGAGTGAGACACAGAGGTATACGGAAGCGCATTGCTATCACGCAGGAAAAAATTTTTTAGAGCGCTATCACGTTATAACGTGATACGTATCTTGTTAAAACATGATAGTATCTTGTTAAAACGTGATAGTATCTCGTTAAAACATGATGCGTATCTTTTTAAAACGTGATATGTATCTTGTTAAAACGTGATATTTATCTTGTTAAAACGTGATATGTATCTTGTTAAAACGTGATATGTATCTTGTTAAAACATGATAATTTTATGTCCAGGAAGTGGCGGTATTATGCTAGGCTAGTACAGTGGCTAACATGAATTGGTCAGGTTTCCTTTCATGTTTGGTCTACAACATGTAGAGATACGGATGCTGCTTTGCACTGTGGTTAAAACCATTAATAGCATGCGTACTCTGAGCAGGATCCTAAACAGAACGGGACTGCACAGAAGGAAACGTCAGTCCGGTCCTCTAGCTGTAGCGGCGTTCCTGACTGTCTGGATCGAAGCTCAAGTTGGCTTTCGATTGTAGCTTCTGATTTGGGAAATGGCTAAAGGGAGATTATAACGGAGGCTCAGACGTATTTGCTGAACAGTTTCTGTTCAGATTTTCTTTAACAGTACACTTGCTGAACAAAATGGCAA